CCCCACCAAGAGAACCACTTAGGTAAAGAAGGAGCATCTCTAGGGTGTTCCCCACCCTTAGCTCTATGCTGGCACTGGCTGGGCATGGAACCTGGCTGGATTTCTGCCCTACACCCGGTAGCAGGGAGTCTCCCTTCTCTTAATTTCTAGGGCCCTGACTTACTGATTAAAAGTGTAGCTGCTAATTTGAATAAAATAGCTTGCAAGTCAAGGAATTCATACTGAAACAAGCAGTTCTTGAAGTTCTTCCACCCCTTTCACTCAAGAACCCTGCACATTTCAGTAATCCTAAATCTTGGGATGTCAGATTGAGTTGGCTCTATGCAGAAAAGTTTCCTGGGGAAAGAAACCTTTACACCTGCTCTCATGGGTTCCTGCAGGGCAGGGTTTCACTTTAGCAGCATGGTTGATATTTTGAGCAGGATGATGGTTGTATGGGGCTGTGGTGGGCGCTGTAGGATAGTTTAGCAACATCCCTGGCCTCTACTTTCTGGATGGTAGCCTCTCCCCTAGTTTCGACTACTCAGAGTGTCTCCAGACAATGCCAGCCACCACCTGGGGGGGGGGGGGGGTATCTTTGAGTTCAGGACAGGAAAGTTGCCCATCTGTAACCCCCAGCTTTCTGGAACTAACCTGTCCAGCCCCAACTAGTAGAGAGGGTGCTGGCTTGGAAACAATCCTGGCTTCTGTCAGTCACTGGCTTGCTTGGCTTGCTGGATTCTACTCCCTGGGCCTCAGTTTCTTTATCTGAAAAACAAAGGGGTAACCTCTGAGGACTTTTCTGGCCTGAAGAATTTCTTTACTTGACTCTTCCCATCCAGGTCTGGGGATTAGGATTAGGTCTGGGTTCACCTCTGCCTCCCCATGAAGGAACCCTCGCCACCCCAAACCCTGTGCTCAGAACTGGAAAGAAAGGAGTCTCAGGCCTTGTGTCATCTTCCACACCCTCATCTCAAGGGGCTCTGAGAGGGCTATCTCCTATCTCCCTTGCTTTGGGGCTGGTGGACTGTTTTATTTCTGCTGTGACTTCCTTTCTCCCACACTCACACCCCCTCCTCCCTCACATCCCGGGGAGCTGGGCCCAGCGCTGCTCCGACTGAGGTCTGAGACTGCATATGATCAGTGCTTTTCTCTCCTACCCAGGACCTCTGCCTTACCCCCGCTGGACTGGCCTCTGCCCAGCCAGTATGAGCAGCTGGAGCTGAGGATTGAGGTGCAGCCTAGAGCCCACCACCGGGCCCATTACGAGACCGAGGGCAGCCGAGGGGCTGTCAAAGCTGCCCCTGGTGGTCACCCTGTAGTCAAGGTAAGGGGCAGAGGGCAGTCCTGATAGCCTTTCTCTTCTCCAGTCCCAGATCCCTGCAGATGGGCTCCAGCTGTGCAGACCCATGGCACTGCCCTTTCCCACACTCCCTCTCAGCAATGACCCTGCAGGCAGCCTGGGGGAGGGGCTGGATTTAAGGGAGGAAGGGTGCACTTCCAGGACCCGGATATACTCTCTCCTTCTCTGTCCCTCCACCCCCGCTCCGCTCTTCCCATGGGACACCCGCCTCATGTCTACTCTGGAAAATGGTAGCCTGCCAGATATGGGGGAGGGGTTAGGCTGAGGCCAAAGTTCACTGGGAGTTAGGTTGTCTGTTGAGTTGGGCCAGTCTCTCTTGGAAGATTTCCCCCTTTGCCCAGCTCAGTTTGGGCCTTATTCCAAGAGTAACACTGTAAACTCCAGGCCACGTTTTCTCCACAGCTGGTGCCCAATTCCCCCTGGGAATCCCTTTCAGGATATCCTTTATCTTTCACCATCCTCATCCCCTGGCGGACTGAAAGCCCAGGGATGGATGAAGGATGAGACAGTGGGGGTTTCAGTTGGGTGGCCTCTCTTTCCGTCTGCCAGCTCCTAGGCTACAGTGAGAAGCCACTGACCCTACAGATGTTCATTGGCACTGCAGATGAAAGGAACCTGCGGCCTCATGCCTTCTATCAGGTGCACCGTATCACAGGCAAGATGGTGGCCACAGCTAGCTATGAAGCTGTAGTCAGTGGTACCAAAGTGTTGGAGATGACCCTGCTTCCTGAGAACAACATGGCAGCCAAGTAGGTCCCCACTTCACTTCCCCTCAGTCTTCAGGCTTTAGGACCAGCCTTTTCCATGAGGTCTAAGCTAGGCCCACTCTTCCTCTTCCCAGAAGAGCTAGCTGGACATCACCTCTAGGAACAGGTTCCAGGCCTTCTCATGATCTAGAAGAGGACTTGGGGCCTAGGGAGTACCTTGGAGAGACCACCTGTGATTAGAAAATACCCCCCCCCCCCCAGGTTCCCAGAGAAAGTCATTCAGGGCTTTGGATGAAGCGTGGGGGCTTCCTCCTTACAGGGGCCTCGCCATTTGGCTTCAGCTGGGTGGGGGCTTGCCTTCCATTCTCTGCCTTCAGCATTGACTGTGCTGGAATCCTGAAGCTCCGGAACTCAGACATTGAGCTGCGGAAGGGGGAGACAGACATTGGGCGCAAGAACACACGTGTGCGGCTCGTCTTCCGGGTGCACGTGCCCCAGGGCAGCGGGAAGGTCGTCTCAGTGCAGACAGCATCAGTGCCCATTGAGTGCTGTGAGCAAAGAGGCCCTGTGCCATCTCTATCTCTTGCCACTCCCTGTTTGCGTGTATGTCTGGCTTCCCATCTCTTCTGCATAGTGTCTTGTGTCCTGTCCTAGGTAGCCCTATAAAGGACTCAGCGCTTATTTCTATTATGGAGGGGTTGGGGTCAGTGTTCTAATTTGTCCCTGCCACAGACTCTGTCTCTGGGCTGGACTGTCTCTGGCCTGTCCTCCATCTGTCTCTGGGTGGCCCTGTGTACTTGTTTGGGTAGCTCTGCCCTTAGGTGACGCTGTTCATCTCTGTCTCTGCCCAAGCTCCTCACCTGGTGTGTGTGACCCCAGGGATACTGTTGATTTACTTGTATGTCTGCTACCGAGGAGGACTCCTCCAGGGTCCTGTGGCAGTTATTCCAAGAAGGGTGGGGTCCTCTTGGACTCAGCCCAGCCAGCCTCCTTCCTGCACTGCTCTGCAGCCCAGCGCTCGGCCCAGGAGCTGCCCCAGGTAGAGGCCTACAGCCCCAGTGCCTGTTCTGTGAGAGGAGGAGAGGAACTAGTGCTCACTGGCTCCAACTTCCTGCCAGACTCCAAGGTGGTGTTCATCGAGAGGGGCCCTGGTGAGCACTCATGGGGGCGGGGGGCAGGCAGGAGGAGTTTGGAACGGGCAAGTGAGAGATCTCTGGCACTGTCATTAAACTAGCAAGTTGAACCTCAGTTTCCTTATCTGTGAAAGGGAACAGATGGACTGCCCTTCCTATTGTCCTGTCTGCTTCCCATGGGGAGATGGGTGTGACAGCAATCTGAAATGCTCAAGATGATGAACAGATGTGAGAAATCACATTCATTTTATCAAAGAGGAGTCAGCTTTGACACAGTTTACTCCCATGTAGATAGTCCATAGAGGAGAGAGGAAGAGGGGACTTATATCCTCCCAGACCCCAAGCCCCTCCTGAGTTATGGACCTGGTAGCACAACTGTGATTACAAAGCCTGTGAGGGGCCTCGGGTCAGTTGCGGGGCTGGAGAAGGGAACATTTAGGGGTCCAAGTAAACCCACCAACCTGAGCCCTTTGCCCTCCCCCCACCCCTGCCCACCAAGAGCCCCAGCACCTACACTCAAATGGAGCACCCTGGGACCATGCCAGAGAAGGTTCAGAGATTCTGGATCTTGAGATCAGGGTCTCATTGCCTTCCTTCAAGCTAGGACCTTTCTTACTCTTGAACTTCCTCCCAGCACTGTCATGGCAGGAGATGTTTGGAACTGAATGGGAGGGTTCCAGAGTCACCTCTGTCATGAACTCTCTCTGGTTCCCTGGGCTGGCCCTGCCACTTCTCTTGTTTCAGTTTGCTGCCTCTTCCATCCAATTGAGTAAACACGCAATGGGCTCCCCTGTGAGCCAGGCCTTGTAGGGGCCTTCTGAGTGTGGCCCTGACTCTAGCAGGAGGGGAAGTGGCAGGGGACTGGGCAAGGGGCACGGGCCCTGGAATTGGGCTGGAGCTCTCTGTTCCTCCTGCACAGATGGAAAGCTGCAGTGGGAGGAGGAGGCCACAGTGAACCGGTTGCAGAGCAATGAGGTACCAGTGTCACCTAGGGCACCCACCCTGGGCGGGTGGTGGGAGAAGTCAGGAAATTCACAGCTATGTCCCTTGCCCATGGGAATGGACTCCAGAAGCTACCTCTTTTTTTCTGGAGGAGGCAGTCTGGTCACTCTGGGAGCAGGTTCATCTCTAGGAAATGAAGTTTGCTGTCTAGCAAATGGAAAAAGCCAGGAGGTGGAGTTTGGGTCCTTGAAAGGGCTATGCCGAGCCAGATCCCTGAGGGCTCCCTGCCTCATCCTGTGTTCTTCCCCAGGTGACGCTGACCCTGACTGTCCCTGAGTACAGCAACAAGCGGGTGTCCCGGCCAGTCCAGGTCTACTTTTATGTCTCCAATGGGCGGAGGAAGCGCAGTCCTACCCAGAGTTTCAAGTTCCTGCCTGGTACGTTCTGGGACAGCCCACGGTGGGGGTGTGGGGATACGGGGAGCTGAGGCAGGGGCAGAGGGATGCGGTGCCCCATCGTGAGGATCCACGGGATGGATGGAGCCTGGGGACAGAGAAGTGGGCAGAGGCTGTGCAGTGGGGAGACTGCCAGCCCTCTCACCAGTGTGTCCTGCTTTCTCATCTACCCAGTGATCTTCAAGGAGGAGCCTTTACCGGACTCCTCTCTCCGCGGCTTCCCTTCAGCACCTGGCCCCCCCTTTGGCACTGACATGGACTTCTCACCACCCAGGCCCCCATACCCCTCCTATCCCCATGAAGACCCTGCTTACGAAGCTCCTTACCTGTCAGAAGGCTTCAGCTATGGCACACCCCCTCTGTACCCCCAGACGGGGCCCCCACCATCCTACAGAGCTGGCCTACGGATGTTCCCTGAGACTGGGGGTACCGCAGGTTGTGCCCGCCCGCCTCCAGTCTCCTTCCTTCCCCGGCCCTTCCCTAGTGACCCCTATGGAGGACGGGGCTCCCCATTTCCCTTGGGGCTGCCGTTCCCTCCTCCAGCCCCCTTTCGACCTCCACTGCCTTCATCCCCACCGCTCGAAGGCCCCTTCCCTCCCCAGAGTGGTGTTCATCCCCCACCTGCTGAGGGATACAATGAGGTAGGGCCGAGCTATGGCCCTGGGGAGGGGGCTCCGGAGCAGGAGAAATCCAGGGGTGGCTACAGCAGCGGCTTCCGAGACAGTGTCCCTATCCAGGGTATCACGCTGGAGGAAGGTGGGTGTGGGGCTGGGGGTTGTGAGTGTGAGTGTGTGCAAGAGATTGCTCTGCATGTTTGCTGAGGGCTGGAGTTTGGCTTCCCAGAGATGGGGCATCCCCGGGCCCTCAGGGCCAATTGGAGGGTCTCAGGAGGCAAGTGTTTGGTGCATGTGGCCACCTAAATCTGGTTAAACTCAGTTCTGAAGGGTGCAGAGAGTTCCTGCCCCAGCCCTTCTCCTGCCTCTGCCCTCTGTCCCAGATCACAGAATTTCCGGGCTAGAAGTACTTTGAAGACCATTCAGCCCAGCTCCCTCAATTGTCAGAGTCACGCACTGAATTTCAGAGCAGGGCAGGGGCTTGCTGAGGTCCCAGTCAGGCACATTTTCCCTTGCCTCAGCGTCCCCCCACACATGGTGACTGTGGTCAAGTTTGGTGATGAGGAGCCTTCGTATTTTGCATCTCCTTCCTCCCACTGGCTGCACCCACCTCTGGCCCCGATGACAGTGACTGCCCAAACACCCCAGGCCGAGCCAGCAGGAAAGGGCTAAGATGGGGGCCTGGGAGCCCACATGGATGGAATTGAGTGAGATTTGATTGGGGACAGGTATCAAGACACACTGGGGAAACTGAGGCCCTGTGGAAGAGAAGCCAGTGGAGGAGGAGCCTAGAAGCATCCTAGACTGAGGCCTGCCTGGAATGGATTGGGAATTTCTGGAAAAGGTGGGGACCAGTCCCTAGCCCAATCTTTCAACTGCACCTCCTTTACAGTGAGTGAGATCATTGGCCGAGACCTGAGTGGCTTCCCTGCACCTCCTGGAGAAGAGCCTCCTGCCTGAAGCATCACCTGGCAACCCCAGCCCCCCTGCCCAAGCCCTGCCCACTTTCCCTTCATCCTGGGGTGGCGGTTCCAGAAGCTTGGGGCCAATCTGGATCCTCTTTCTCCAGCTTTTGCCTCCTCTCCCCTGCCCTTAGCTGAGGTGTGGCCCCTGGGCCTGGTGCTGCCTTGGAGGGGCTAAGATGGGGGTGGGGACCAAGGCTGGGTATGAGGAAAGACTGGAGTGAAGGCTGTGTCTAGTTGTGTACAGGCCACGGTGCTGGGAGGCTGGGGACAGCTTGATGGATAATAAACTGCTCACTGACTAGTGCTTCAGGCTCCAGAAGTCTTTGGACAGAGAGATGGGGCAGCTTACTCTAGCCCTGTATCCCAAAGAGTTTCTCAGTGGAGGGGTGCTGGGGAGGGTTTGAAGGGACTCCAGAGGCTCCCCAGCTGGAGTGAGGTTGGGGGCTTGAGTAGGCCTCTCCTCCCTGGGGATTCAGATTCCTTTAGGAGCTTTGGGATGGGGCCTAGGAATCTGTGTATTTTCAAGTTTCTTTCTCTTACCGCCACTCAGATGATTCGGATTCATAGCCAAGGTCACGAAAACCAGTCTGATCCCTTTTCCCCATTTATAAAGGAGAAATCCCAGGCTCAGAGAGGGAAAAGGGCTTGTCCAAGGTCACACAGCTAATCAACTAACAGGTTGAATGCCAGCCACACTCCTGGCCTCCTGCCCAGCCCACCCTCCCCAACCCACCCTCAGATACCTTTGGGCTCGGGCCTGAGGCTTATCTCCCTCAAGTATGGTTAGGGGTGAGGAAGGGCTGGCATGGACCCATCCACACCGGATTCTCCCACCTTTGAGGACTGTGAAGACGTTCTGGAAACATCTGTGCTTCAGAGGTAGACTATAGGAAACCAAGCAGCTCCCCACAGCTCTGGTCACTACTTGCCCGGGTTCAGGGCATTGTATGATCTCCTGGTCTATCCTGCAGGTACAGCCACATGTCCCCACTGACAGGCCGGGGTTGGAAACCTGGTTTGCCCCAGTTAACAGGCCATGGGAGGGACCAAGTCTCCACTGGGCTGGGGAAAGTCAGACCTTATCTGCCCTGCTCACCTGGCACCTGGTACACAGTAGGCACTGGGTACCGCCAAGCTGAGCTGGAGAGGCCTGGCTGCAGGCGGCCATACTCAAAAGATATTCAGGGAATTCGTACTTGGGAAACTTGCCTCACCTAAGGCTGGTGGGGCCTCTCTATGCCCAGTGGGTCCAGACAGGCCTGGCAAGTACCTGTGTGTTCCAAGGCAGGTGTGACAGAAGCTGGCTCTAGATTGGGGGCCCAGGAAATGGGGATAATACCTTCCCCCACCCACCCCTCTCCGTCTGGTTGCTGCTCTGCAATGAATTTCCTTTGTCTTCCTGAATTCAAATTTTTGTGAACCAAACTGACCTCAAGTGATCAGATCACTGGGCTTTGGCTGCTCTTTTAAAGATACCCTCAGGGTGCCTGGCTAGCTCAGTTGGTAGAGCTTGCAACTCTTGATCTTGGGGTTGTAACTTTGAGCTCCACATTGAGTGTAGAGATTACTTAAAAATAAAATCTTAAAAAAAAAAAAAAAAAAAGTATCCTCCAGCAGGGGCCAGAGTCATTGCCCTGTAATCTCAATGTCAGGAGGGACCCTGGGGCACATGAGTCACAGGGAGCATTCTTTGGCTCCATCCCCAAGATCTCTCTCTGACAAGGGGTAGGTCAGCCTCTGTGAATGGAAAGCTGCAGATGGCGGGCACTCACTGCCTCCCAAGGCAGACCATTTCATTTTCTGTCAGGGCACTGCTATTCATTCATTGCCACACATTTCTTGAGCAGCTATAACTGCCAGCCAGTGGGTCCTGGAGGACTTCTTAGCCTCAGGGCAACAGTAAGGAAAGAGCTCACTGTAAAAATTCAAACAGTTCAACTCCGTAAATATTTCTTATACAGACAGTATGTTGGATCTTGTTGTGGGAGAGGGCGGTGAGTAGTTTTAATATGGGGTGTAGAAGGAGCAGAGATCAGGGGCATGTCATCCAGTTGTGGGGGTGAGAGGGAACTAACTTCAGGGTGAAAGAATTGCCCAGGCTGATTAGGGGAAGGGCAGGTTAGGCAGAGCTACCAGCATGGGAGAGAGACCCTGGAGAGAGGCAAACAAGGAAGGCTAACAGATGGAAGGCTTGGCATTCTTGGAGGAGCAGGAGAGGTTCTGTCTGGTGGGGATGGGGTACAGGTTAAATTCTGGAAGTAGGGGGCTGTGAGGAGGGTTTGGAGAAGGCAGCAGTGGCTAAGTTCTGAGGGCCCTTGTAGCTGTGCCGGGGAATTTAGTTATTCGAGGATTGTGGGAGCTTTCCTACTAGATGGTAGGCCTTAAGCCTGGGGTGATACAATCGATCTGCCATGAAGGTCTTCCTGGGGTTGAGCTGACATCTGCCTCCCTGTGACTTGCTCTGCCAGGGCCTGTTCCGCCTTTTGGGCCCATTCTTTGTACGCCTAACCCCTCTTCCTACTGGAATCCTGTTGTGAGTCAGCCTCCCAGGGTCACTGTCTCTTCCCAGGATCCCTACAGACATCTAGGTCCCTGAGGCTGGGGTTGAGAGAGAGAGAGAGAGAGAGGGGAGGAGGCCAGATCTTCAGCTGGTGCCAGAAAAGACTTTCTTGGCCAGGGTTTCTCCAAGTGTGGTCTGAGGATTTCTTGTATTTGAATCACTGGGGAGAGTTTTTTTGTTTTGTTTTGTTTAAAGGTTTTATTTTTAAGTAATCTCTACATCCAATGTGGGCTTCAAACCCACAACCCTGAGATACAGTTGCAAGCTCTGACTTAGCCAGCCAGGTCCCCCTGTTTTGGTTTTTAATGTAGATTCCTAGGCAACCCTTGACCTACTCAATTATATTCTTTGGGGCCAGGGCCTAGTATCTGCATTTTAAGGAGTGCCCTAGGTGATTATTCAGCACAAGAATGCTTGAGATCTAGAGTCATTTGTCAATTAAGTGTCACTCCTTCCCACTCCAGACTCTAAAATAGCTCCCTTCTCCCAGATCTTGCCTGGGCTGTCCTGGGTGGAGCCTCACCTGGAAAAGTGTTCTTAAGGGGAGGGGAAGGGCACACACATTCATGACATTGCAACTCATCTCTCTCTATACCTGGCTCCATCTTGCTGTGCAGATAATCTCAGTTGTCTTGAAGGTTGCAAAACAAACAAACAAACAAACAAACAAACAAACAAAAAAACTGCAACGCAGGGCACTTCCTCGAAGTTCCAGATGTAGGAAGTGCAAAGGGGTTTGGCTGCTTTTTTTGGGAGCTGGTTTTACTGGCCTCAGTGTCTGGTTGCTCACTTAGCCAACGGTCCACAAAGTCCTCCAGGGCCCCTGGTCTGTGCTGAGTTCTGTGCTAGGCACATAGGATATGGGAATCACACCGGGGCCTTGCTGTGGAGGAGCTGACAATCCAGGCACTAGAAGCGGACACTTTCCTGCCTGGAGACGGGGTGAGGTGATTTTATCTGAGCTGTCCAAGAGGCAGAAATGGTACGTTGCTATGGAAATACAGGACCAGAGCTTGAGAGGGAGGGTCAAAGAACATTTTACAGAGGTGGGTGTGAAAGGGCGGGCCTACGCCAGCCGACTCCATCTTGTTCTGTGTCCTTCACCTTGACCACACCTCCTCCCCTTGAGTAACCCCCCCTCACCTGCCTAACAGGACTCGACCCTTCCCCAGGACCCTTCCCCAGCCAATCGGCTGAGGCCATAGCCATTACCTCACCAACTGCCCCCAGGCCCCAATAAAACCTTTGTCCTTTTGAAACTCGCTCTTTTTCCCTGGTATCTCACCGCTGCGTCGGTGCAGGTAGGGGATTGAGCTCGAGCTAGCTCGAATAAAGGCTCTTTGCTTTTGCATCGGACTCGGCTCCCTAGTGGTCTTTGGGGATCATGAATTCTGGGCATAACAGGGTGATTTTGAGCTAGGTCTTCAAGGAGAAGTGGGAGTTTTCTGGATAAACAAGATAAGCATGTGAGAGGGGGTCATGCCTGAGAGTTAAAACATATGAGGTCAAGACCACACTGGGGGGAAGGAATCAGACTTTCGATGCTTTAATAGGTCATGCGAAGGAGTGTGGATAATAGGCAGTCTTTTACTCATTTGGTCAGAGGGTCTACAAGCATGAGTGTGGGTGTGTGAGCACATGTGATTTAGGATTTAGAAACTTTCTTTTTTTTTTTTTTTTAATTTTTTTTTTCAACGTTTATTTATTTTTGGGACAGAGAGAGACAGAGCATGAACGGGGGAGGGGCAGAGAGAGGGAGACACAGAATCGGAAACAGGCTCCAGGCTCCGAGCCATCAGCCCAGAGCCTGACGCGGGGCTCGAACTCACGGACCGCGAGATCGTGACCTGGCTGAAGTCGGACGCCCAACCGACTGCGCCACCCAGGCGCCCCTAGAAACTGTTTCAAGAAATAGTGGCAGGGAGACCAGAATGGGTAGTAGTTTTGCAGTAGTTGAGGCAAGAGAAGTCTGGGCTCTATCTACTGCTTAGGTTAGCTAAACAGGCTCAGCTAGGGTGGGGGGTCAGGGAAAAGAAAAGTTCCTGGCCTGGGGTCCTAACACAGCCATCAACTCTCCGTGTAATCTCTAGCACGTCCCTGGCCTAACTGGGCTCTAGCTGCCTCATCTGTACATGTTTACTGACGTCCTTCTCTGTAGCAGCCTCTGTGATAGCTCGTGGGGATAGAACAATGAGTGAGACAAACACAGTTCCTTCTCTCACAGAACTCAAAGTTTATGATAAGCAGTTGCAGAACAAAGTGTAATGGTGGAGAAGTACTGGGGGCTATGGGATCTTTCAGAAAGGTCACTGAACCTGTCCTCTCCCACTGTTTGCATATCTCTTAGAGTAATGATGGACAACTATATTTTGAGAGCATCTATTGAATCTGTCCCTTTTGGGGGGGGAACAAGACATTCCCTGAAAGGAATGGAT